ATATCGATATATTTTTGTCAAATTTTAATGATATCTTCAAACATATATTTTATTAAAAAATAAAAACATCATCGCTTTCTCAAAATCACATAAAGCCATATTATAACATCGACAGAGATAAAGAATAAAATGAAATATTAAAATCATGATGTATCTCGCTGCATTGCGCGAGTACGCTTCTAGTATTATAAAACATTTAACAAATACTCTTAAAAACCATTTTTATGCATAAAGTACTGTTTATTGATGCATATTACTTAAAATTCAAGATTACAAGTAAATTGTGCGTAAGTACAACTTTTCAAACCTTCATGTTTGAATTCGTGTAACTAACTACAGATAAATATAATCAAATAGAGAATAAACATCTCATCTTAAATATAAAAAATCTAAAATATAATTAGGATAATTATTGAGTTCTAATAAAATACTTGATTATTATTTTTATATAAAATTATAAATTATTAAACCAAAACTTAATAACTTCGTTATCAAACCTAAATTAAATTATAATACAAAAAAAATGAAAATAAAATACACCAAAAGAACAAGAATTTTTAAATAATTAGTTTGGTACTAATATCAATTTATATATATATATATATATATATATATATTTAAAATTTTTATGATATCTTTATATTCATATTTTATTCATAAATAAAAGCATTATCGATTTCTCAAACCGTATTATAACATCGAATGAGATAAAAAAGAACATTAAAATCGAGATGATTGTATTTTAAATATTTGCATGTTTTTGTTATATGCTATTAACTGATGGAAGTGCCGAGTGGGTGTTTGCATGTGAAAAACACAACTTCTAATTCTATATTATTATTATTTGATTTTGATTTTGACTTTCTCATTCTACTTCTTAACTTTCATATCTCCCTCTTCTTGCTTGTTTTAACAATCATTTGCTAATGATTGGTTTGGAGCATGCTTTATTTGGTGGAAATCATTATATATTGTTATGCATGCTACTTTATGTTATGTATATGGTTGTAAGAAATTGTTTGTGGTTACGTATTGGATTTACATAACTTAGTTCGGTATGGGACGGACGAATGTCGGAGATATTTCGATTAATTTAAGTTAACACATCCGATGTGCGTGGGAATGGTGTTGGTTGTTTATCGTCGTGATGCTTGGCAATATGAGGGTGTTACAAGAGTTTTATCCATGTTTCCAATTAGGGCCGTCCTTGAGCCCGTTACATATGGGATTTAGAAACAGGTCCCCCAAAATGTTGGGGCCCAATTTTCACAGGTCCGCTTATTGTAAATTTGTAATGTACGCTACTTAGTCTAACACGGCCGAGTAATTTCTTCATTAAGTAGAAGATTCAAACAATCCCAAGAATATGAAAGTGTGTTTGGGTTTTTGTTTACATCTGATAAGTTGCGTTCTTTGGATGATACATGTTTAAAGTCTTAGTGTACTAATTTTGAAAATGCACTAAAGAAACAAGACCAATCTGATATAGATGGGAATGACTTATATATTGAACTGAAAATACTTCAAGATCTTTTACCCACATAAAAGATGGGACCTCTTGATATTTTAAAATATCTGAAACATGTTGAATGCTTCCCTAATGCTATTATTGCTTATAGAGTTTTGTTGATGTAACTTAACTGTTGCATCTGCAGAAAGAAGTTTTTCAAAGTTGAAGCTGTTGAAGTCTTATATGCGCTCCACAATGACACAAAAAAGACTTAACGGACTTGCAATGATAGCACTTGAAAATTACTTTTTGGAGAAAGTTGATTATGAAGAGCTTATTGAAGATTTTGTTTCCAAAAATGTGAAAAGAATTGATTTTATTCAAGTGAAGTTTACATGTTAGACGTTACTTTGTCTTTTGGCTGCTTTTATTTGTAACACTTTCAATATAATATGAACTTTTGTATTTAAATTTTATTTGTTTTTTCGGCCAATCTACTTATATTTTTTATAATAGTGTAACAAGGCGTCCAAAAAGATTGGGAGAACCCTGTTTCCAATATTTGAATATTAATCGAATGATATATGAAAAACACAGATCTTCATCTATCTTTCATCTTATAACTTATAAAAAAGGGGACCATCATCGCCTTCACTGCTTCCACCTTACCTTTACCTTCAAATTCACTTAAATTCACACACCTTCATTCATCTTCAAATTCATCCAAGTTCACCAACTTTCACGAACCTTCATTCACCTTCCCATGCATGAATTGTTAAAGAAGTCATGATTATACAAGTGGATGGAGATATGTGAATACAAGTGGATGAATGTAATGAAGGTCTGATGTTCTCACCAAAAAAATTGTTCCTATTGGCTTTTATCGTAACAACGTAGTTTAGTTTCAGTTAAAATTCTCTATAAACAATTAGTATGGATTCAACAACGTTCAAATCATATGAACGGAACCGAGCCGAACCGAACTGAACTAGACCATCATTTCTTTCTTTTCTAGCTAAATCGAGTTTGGATCGATTGATGTTATCAAACTATACCCGTTCCAACCCAACCCAACCAAACCAAACCAAACCTAACCGGTTATTCCATATTCAAACCATTGTCAAAAAATGTCCTTTTTCCCTATAACTCCACAATTACAATCTGCATTGCCCTTCAATAAGAAAAAAAAAACTACTTATTTTGCACAAACACACATCCTAGATTTTCCCAATGATTAGATCGACGATGGCTTAAAGCTCAGATTCTACGTACATTTCGACTCTTAAGGATCATTGGGTCATTGTAAATCATGTACACATGACGTAATGAAAGTTGTAATCCCGTTTTCTAATTACTCGATCACTTAGGATGGAGGTACGGCTCCCCATGTCGGTGGTACCCGAGTAGGTGTAACGGGCGTTGGCATGGTTTTGATGTTGATATCGAGGGGGTAGAGTCGGTATTCGACATCGTGTTCTCTAAAGAGTCGAATCATTTCGTCAATGACTGCACCTTTTCTTATGTACCTCTCCCCCATGTCTTGAAAGTTTATTTTATGTCTCCACCATATTTGCAGCTTAATCTTGTTTAACTCCTCCAAATTCAACGACACCATCGTTATATCGCTCGCATAATAATGATCCTTCTTGCTCTCGATGAAGCTGCATGCAAAAAACCCGAATTAACTTCCATTCAGTACTAATTTAGTAAGAGTCAACGCATTTGAACCTCCGTGGCCACAAGAGGATTTTTATTCGTCCTTGGATTTGAACTTGGAACCTCCCGGTACTTTTGATCTTTGGAGTCAAGCTCAAACCAATCAGGCACCTCCTTTATGGTTAGAAATCCTGACTATTTCGGCCAATTGAGTAGAAAAAAGACTATAAAATGAATTAGAGGGTCCGAAATAGCTATTTTGGACAATTTCCATTGTTCTTAGAAGATCTATTCGTTAGCATCTCCAACCCAACGTTAAAACACACAAGTGTAGAGAAGAAGATGTCGTACTTGATAATTCTTTGTTTAATGATAACCAACTTGTCGGCCGGAGTAGCAATATGGATGAAGAAATCGATTGAATCCCACATGTCTGGACTACGGAAATGGTTGCTGATGGCTCTCGTGGCAAGTGTACTGTTTGGAAAATAAACCTTCTCGTTGTCCCATTTCAGGAATACGGTAGTCAGAATGTTCATCTCTTCTACGATCATCTGATCAAAACCAATTTATGTTACAAATTACAAGAACAAAATTAAACACCATGTTTGTGCCATAATTTCAAAAGACAAACTTCTTTATAAATTATACCTGAACTCCATCGATCTCACAACGATCGCCCACGTCAAAAGGGTGCATGACAAACAAGAAGATGATGGCCTCGAAGATGGTCTTGCAGGTGTTGCCAAAGATGAATGCCACCACCACGATTTGGGAGCTTATAAAAACTAGGAACTTGCTTGTCGCGATGTTCAGTATCAGAAGGCAAACAACCACAATAATGATGCCAACTAACACGTTCACCATTTGGTGCAACTTGTTCACTGCTGTTTTTGTATCGTTAAGTGTCAAGGCGAGTGCTTTTCTTTCTCTAAATGCGTTAACCTGTAAATTTAGATCAATTCAACATAGAATGAACGAATCTGTAAGCTACAATCAATATATTATGGATTGAAGGCTTGAAATTGTGATTAGAAATAGAATAACTCTTACCACCCAAGTCTTCAAAGCTCCCTTGCTAATTTTTTCATCTCCAGGCGTTCCTACCAAAAGAGCCATGGTTTTCACAGCCTGATCTTCTCGCAAGAAGCGCATTAGATCACTGAGGTAGATGAATCTGTAAACAACAAACTTCCCATCCTAGAATCTCAATCATGCGACATAAAATATATGTCTGATTTATAAATGCGTTTTAAAATGGATATAAGAACATACTTGGAGCCAGCCCTGGCCACATTCAAGAAAATCTTGCGAGCAGCACGTTTGGCTTCGATTTCGCTTCTGATTTGTGTCACTGTTTCATCCTCCTCTTGTCTATTCATGTCATGTAATTGCTCGTCCAATGTGCTCAACGTACCCAGCCGGACGATTCTCATCAACCTCTTCATGTTCCATGCGGATACGTTCTTGGGGTTAAGTCTATGCAAGTGATCAATTGTTATCCCTTGCTCTTTTTCGTCAATCTTGCGGGGCTGATCAGAACCCTTGATGCTAACTGGAGGTGGTTGTAGTCGTCCGCTGCCGAACATTCTCCCACTCTTAGATGGGAGCACAGTCTCCCCAAGTTCTGGAGGCACGTTGGCACCTGCATTCTGAAGTCTCTGTACTTCTGCCAGTGTCTTCTCTTCTTCGATCTGATTGTTTCGGATCTCAACCAAGGGAGGGCCCGAGAGGGTCTCGATCACATATTGGTTGAACAAAGCTTCTTGAATCCGATCGAAGAACTTTTTGACATGAAACGAAGATGCAAGTACTTTAACCATGAGGGTTTTGACAAGCCACAAGGATGTAGCCACTAGCATACACACCATCAACTTGTTTACAACCCTGAGGAACCTGTTATGGCCTTCAACTTTCTCATCGAACATGTAATGCCATGCAATCAAAACCAAACCTAACCAGAAACAATTCTGAACTGGCTTCCTGATTCCGTATACGAAATATAGAACCCGTTTGCGCAGAAGGAAATTTCTCTCGATAAAGAAAACAACAAATCTTATACCCCAACCAGAAACCAATCGGCCGCATATCAAAACAAGCACCAAAACCTCCCATTCCCAAATGTGAAGTCCCCTTAGTACTTTTTGCTTCCATTGGTCGATAGTAAGCGTGCAAATCAAGGCAGTCAGGATCAAAATAAGGCTGATCCATTGGACGATTGTAATTGCATCCAGTTTGGCCTTTTTAAAATCGTCTGGATTATCTTCCTCATACAGGGAATCATCCTCTTCTTCGTTTTCGCCTCTTGTCAATATCCCTGAGGCGCGTGTTATTAACCCTGATCTATATTGCCCTGACCTACCTCCTGGTCCTGATAATTGAACCTGAACCTCAACTTCTGGTGGATCTATCAATCTGGATTGTTGAGTCTTGGTTCTCATTATAGTAGCTCTCCTTTGGAACGAGGTGCATTTTAAAACCTCGCCTGCGCCTTTCTCGTCGGCGCGGTTATTCGAATTGCTCAAATTGCCCGATTTCCGTCTGTGATGTTGTTGTTCTTGTAATAGAATATCGTCAAATTGTTCTTCATCTGATGATGATCGAAGTTGCGTCGCTTGATCTCCTCGTTCGTCATCCGGCTCAATATCAAGTACCTTAGACGATTGATCAGGCTGTTGAAACGAAACTCTCAATTCTCTCGAATTCGGAGCCCTACAATTTGGATTGACGCTTTCATTATTGAGCGTACCTTTGATCGGACTCTCTGCATTCTGATTTACAACATTGCTACAATTGCTTCCATCGCGAAGCTCATCCATCTCCAAATCCATATCCAACGTCATTTCGCCTCCCGCATCCTTCTGCTTGTTCAAAAACTCGCTGATGAGCCTTGACGGCGGATCCTCCATGTCACCGCTGCCTCGCTGTGTGTCTTTGAAGAACTCGGAACTCGATCCCCGCTTAAACGTTCCTTCGTCAACCCTATCTCCGCCGTCGATCTTAACGATGACTTCGTGGTCGTGATCAGAAAGGATGGGAAGGTGTTCGTGGTGAGAGTTATCGACGGCGCCGGCGGAAATCTTCCGTGAGTTGTTGTTTGAGCGAGGAGATCCGAATGATCTCTTCAAAGATGCAGGAAAATCCATTACATTTGCAGAAGAATGCTTCACGTCATGCAGCGAATCAAACGATTAGAATCCATTTTTCAGTGTTAACAAAATGATTTCACAAACAATTAAAATTCAAAAATAATAATTCAAAACTCCCTAAAAGTTATTTTTTGGAAGCACTACCAAACTTCAAATAATTACAAGTAAAGGAATATTTTATTTAAAGGAGTGAATTGTATGTTTTTTTAAAATAAAAATTATATATATATATACTATATTAAAAAACTTTTAAAAACTTTTTTTTTATGTATAAAGTACTGTTTATTGATGCATATTACTTAAAATTCAAGATTACAAGTAAATTGTGCATAAGCACAACTTATTAAAGCTCTATATTTGAATTCGTGTAACTAACTGCATATAAACATAATCAAATAGAAAATAAACATCTCATTTTAAATATAAAAAATCTAAAATATAATTAGGATAATCATTAAGTTTTAACAAAAATATGTAATTATTATCTTTATAAAATGTTATATTATTAAACCAAAAATAAATTATTTCATTATTAAACTTAAATTAAATTATAATAAAATAAAAAATTACATAAAAAATGAGAACTTTTAAATAGTTGATTTGATATTAACATTGATATATATATTTTTTCAAATTTTCATGATATCATCAAATTTATATTTTATTAAAAAATAAAATCATTATTGTTTTCTTAAAAACACATAAAATCGTATTATAACATCAACAGAAACAAAGAATAAAATAGAACATTAAAATCGAAATGTATCTCGTTGCATTGCGGGAGAACCCATCTAGTGTATATATATATATATATATATATGTATATATATATATATATAATATTAAAATACATAAAATAAGGTATTATTTATGTATTGATTTATTTAAATTAAAAAATTAATTACATTAAATATGATTAATTTTATTGTAATGGTGAAAAATACATGATTTTAATGTGATTAAAATTTTAGTTTAAATAAATCAAATCATAAACCATATCTTATTTTATTTAGGGCAAATAAAATAATATATGATTTTATGATTTGATTCGTTTAAATTTAAAAAAATAATTATATTGAAGACGATTTAATTTTATTGTTCTTTTTCTACCATTGCAACAAACAACTTATTGTCGATATTTTAACACCAAAATCATTTAAAACCACTAAGAAATGAACTTCAATTTCATCATTCTAAAATTAGAGTTTCGGTTTTTATATCGTTTTTCATTTAAAAACTTAAAATCAATTATTTGGATTTTAACTAAATGAAATATTCATACATAGTCTCATCTTTCTAACATAAAATTGAAGAAATTCCTACATAAATTTCAACCAGGTCTCATATCGAAATACACAAAATTACTAAAATAATAAAAATTAAATCATAATTAAATGATTACTGTTTTAATTTAAACAAATCAAATATAAAAATATTAGCATAATTTAACTGTGATTATTTGGAAAAAAAACTCTTTAAAACATGTATATTTTTTATGACCAAATTTAATTATTACTATAAATTTTAAAATGTAATTTGTTTTATTATAAATTTTATAACGCTTGCAATTTATGATGACATATCTATCATTATGTGACATATTCATACTCATAACAACAAATTTAAGGTGTCGTTTACCAATCGTTTATTGGGTAAGTGCCTACCACCAAGACTCACTAGTCTCGCTTACCTTATGGGCTAGCATTTTCTGCCATCAAAATGGATTGATGGCAAATGTTAATAACCGATAAGCGCTTATCGAGTAAGAGTCGTCACTCTTACTTAGTTGGTAAGACACTCAATCATTGCCTTCCCTCCTACAAGGTAAGATTTTCGGTTATTATTATGTTTACCCAGTAAGCTAGTTGAACTAGTAAGTGCTTACCAAGGCAAGTGTTTAGTAAATTAGGGAAAGTTTAAGAAAATGTAGCGAGTTTTTTTAATTTTGATTGATTAAGTTTATAAATTATTTTTAATAAAAAACCATTAGACTTTTTCATTTTAAATGACTAAATTCCTGAATATTGTTTTTTTAAATGAATAAATTATCGAACTTTAGAAGTTGGTTATCCATGTCATTTTAACAAAACAACAACTTGTAACAGACTATAAATGTTTTATAGTTAAAGAAACCTAAATTAGTTTTATTGTTCTCAAATGGTATGTCATTCAAACCCCTCGCACTTAATGACATCGTTACATGTCATTTTTTAGTTAAATAACGTAGATAACCAATTTTTAAAAATTCGATGATTTATATTTATTCAAAAAATAATATTCAAAGTCTTAATCATTCAAAACAAAAAAATTTAATAGATTTTATTAAAAAAATAATTTAAGAAATTAATAAATCAACATGAGAAATTTCGTTGGATTTTAAAAACTTTTCATTAAAAAATATTACTTTTTTCCTTTATTTTTCTTTAAATAAATAGTTAAATGTTTAAATACTTTAAATAGAGCCATTTTAATTATTTTTACGACGGTAAAATATAAAAGCTTTCACGTCTTACAAATTAAGATAACAAAAATGTCTTAAAATGATAAATTAATATATAAAATTCATTAAAACAGAATCGTTCTTCTAACATCGTTCATAACAAAATCTCCAATCAGTTCGTTATAATCAAGTTTATTCAATAAGTCGTTAAATTAAAAGATTAACATATAAAATTTTATACGACCGTTGGTTACCTCAAGTTTTCAAGAAACCGCAGCTCGATTCTAGAGCCGGATTCTCCCTCAACTCTGAATATCAAAACACAACCAAATGTTATAATTAGAATATCATGTCATGTGGGATGCAACATGCAGTGTTGAATTTACGAAAATGTCTACTTTTTATTTATTTATTGTTTTTAATAACAGTGGTTTAACGGTTACTTTTTCACGAAGTTTATACCTCTATTTTAGTTAGTTAAATTAAATGTTTATATTTTTATTTTAGTTTGTCTTAAAATAAGTGTCTGCTTTTAAAAAAAAATTCACTTTCTCATTTCATCTTTAACTATAAGGCGGAAGAAGTTTCTGTTTGTATTATTAAGGGTAGAAATGTCAATTAGTTATTTAAAAAGTGCAGTAGTTATGCATTAGAAGTGTGTGTTATTTTTATAATGGACATTTATTTTGGAATGAAAGTAGTAATTGCTGCTACTTAAATGATGTAACAGATTATTTTTAAATTTTTATCTTAAAAAACACACTCTTCAATATATGCTTTTTAACCAAGGTACCAAATCAAAAAGCCCAAAAACCCAACTAAATGAAACTTTATTCGGTAATCTTAGGGATGGCCAAAAACCGGTCCCGGGCCGGTTCCAATCGGTCCTCACCTTTCTCATAACCGGCCATAACCGGTCCCGGCGTAACCGGTCCCAGTCTCGGTCCCGGTCCCAACCGAAAATGATAGGACCGGTCAAGGTATTTCATAATCGGTTATGGGCCGTCGGTCCCGGTCCCAACCGGTCGTTGCATTAAAAAAATAAGATTTTTTTTTTATTTTTTTAATGATATATATTTTTAATACATTATAAAATTTACAATTGGGTCACTYAAATACACTTTAAAAATGTGTTTTAATATAATTAAAATTACGTTTTCTTATAAAAATACATTATAAAATTATTTAAAAATACATTTATTTATAAAATTATTTGAATTTTCGGGCCGGGCCGGGCCGGGCCAGTCCATAGTCGGTCCCATAACCGGTCTCGGTCCCACGAAACTACCAAAAACCTCAACCGGTCCCGGTTTTCGGTCCCGGTCCCGGGTCGGTCCTTTGTCGGTCCCGGTCCTCTGGCGGTCCCGGGCCAGGCCGGGCCGGGCCGATTTGGTCATCTCTATTCGGTATGGTTATCGGATAATTATGAAAAAGTTAAAATACCAAATAAACCAAAAACCAATTTAAGAGACTGAATAACTGTTGGAATACGAGGGTTATAAATTCCGCAAAAAACAATCGTATTCCTTCAAGAATTCATATGAAACGGTGTAGAATGGGTGTTTCAAAATTTTATCAGAACGAGAAACAACCCTCTGATGTCGTATTTGAATCTAAGCCAACAAACCTAGTTCGTTGCCTCCACGATAACCACGTAAATTCACTGAATCCAATTGATGTCCTACGCCAAGAGTGAAGATCTGCTTTCTTTCTGAATGCTAGATATGGTTTCCCGCTATTTGGAGGAAAGAAAGACTAGTTTGTGGAATATAGAGATAAGAATTGATCCGGATAGATAATTCTTGCTACCGGCACTTAGGCAACCTACCATTGTCTTACAGTGTTCTCTATTTTTATAAGTGAAATGATGGTGCTTATAATAAACAAACATTATAAGCATCACAGCCAGAATGAGTGGTACATGCTTTAAGAAAGTTTCATATCTTCTAAAGGCATGCTTGTCCTTTTTCACATATATAATATATGACAGTCACTACTTGTCATTCATACTCCACGCTTGTCAAACAAACTAGCTATAATAATTAAATATTTTAATTATTTATTTTTTTTATTCAGATATACATCTTGTGTGTGTAATTCATTGGGATTTTATCACGTTGACAATTATTCCAAATCTTGTTTATAATTATAAAGGAAGAGCGACATCTAGCAATACATCTTTGTTACCCAAATGATGAAGTTTGGTGATTCAGCTAATTAACAAAGTGTGTGATCATATCAGTGTACACATTTATGTCCCTTTTTGTTCTCGATATCCAGATTGAACACGAAGCATGGATGTGTCATCATCATTATGTTCGATCTTTAGTTTCTCAATTCCATAATAAATTGATAAGACATATACGAATATCTCTACTGAATATTTGAGCATGCATACACTTCCTCAATACTATTCAATCAAGGGGTACAAAGATATCATTTTTTGTCATCCAAGAGGAACAAAATCATATCTTGATCCATGCTAGTACCACTGAGTAATATATAATATACCCAACAACCATTCTACCAGCCAATTACGGAATGATTAGAATCAGTT